CCCATCCTTGAATAAACTATGTAGGTGTAGCACTGAGTGCCTGTAAAGAAAATCTGATAAAGTGCCCAGTCTAACAGAAGCCTGGGCACAGTTAAAGTCTCTAGTTGCTACTGCAATACAGAAGAATGAATAAGTTTAATAAGTAATGGCAGTGGTAAGTGAGATCTTCCAAAAAAGTTCTGGGTAAGCCTTTCACAAGAAAGTTTCATTACAGTTGGTACATGCATGCATTGTTTATCTTCATGTGATTTGAACAAACCCTACCTCATAAGGACATTTTTACTACGCTTTTATCAATATTACTTAAAATATTTAATTTCCTAGAATTCCCTCTCTTACTGTCTTTATTCTGGTAAATAAATTAGCTAGATATAAGAAACAATTTTAAACAGAGTATCTGTTGGCAAGTTTGCATTTACAATACAATGCTGTAATGTAGAAGAGCACAGCATGCCAGCTAGTTAAATAATACAACATATCTTCTACCACAGTGAAAACATTCAAAAGATACCTCAGAGTCTCTTTCTCATGGGAGACAGGCAGTAAGTGGGTGAACGAACAGCAAGTACATCCAAGGGCCATATTATAGTCTCCTGTGTCCGTCTTCTCACATGGAGGTAAGATCCACTTGTGGAGTCTATATCTGATCCTTCTCAGCTCAGCGGACACTCTGTAAATTCAATATTGAGCATTTCCTTTTTTGGTCTTATAGCCCAGGATTTTCTTCTTTGTTCCTCTTGTGTTATCTCAGTTATCTCTTATTATCCCTCTATTTTTAGTCAGGCAGCTTCTACAGCAACAGCAGCAGCAGCCACTGCAGACGATATAAAATGTGGCCAGGGCTAATAATAATTCAGGCTATTCTTTTCTTACCTTCTTAAAAATATCTGTTCTGCAATAGATGGGACATCATAAATAAATTCAATGCCTATGAAATACAATCTCTAACTCTCTGTATCAGATGGTAATTGCATTCTTTCCTTTCATTTTTTCTTCCTTTACTGATTCTGTTCTTTTTTGTTCTAGTTGTATATTTTTTTTTAATTTTCATTCTGTGTTCTCATTATTCTTTATATGAGGCTTATGGCCAGAGCTATGGCAGTTACAGTTAAGAATGTAAAATCCATTATACCCTTAATTACCCAAGCTAATTAACAACTGTTGGCAGTTCAGTTAGAAGAGTCCAGACTGACTGAGTTTGAGATAAATCTAACCTCTCCAACTCTTTTTTGGGATAGCAAGAGTCAGAACATTCATCTGAATTTATGAACAGAAGTACAGCTTTATGTAATAATGTATTTGTGCTTGCATAATGGCTGAATCCACTTTCTTTGCTGTATGTATCTGTCCTACAGTTGTTTTTGTTGTCAATATATAATCTAGAGAACCAATTTAGTGGCAGTTATGTTTACAGAAACAACAATTTTTAAGATAATATTAGTGAATAACTATGGAAAGCAAGCACACATAGCAGCATACCCAGTGGAAAATTAACTCAATTGGGTCTTAAAATAACAGCCTACGATGTGATCTACCTACAAATTAACTGTGACAGCTTGAATTTCAGATTCTGAAACTTCACAGCAAACAGCTCATCAAAAATCTACAGGTCAATACTCCAACAGAAAAATTTCCATTGACTTCATCAGGGCCAGGAGTTGACCCCCCAAATTCATTCCCATTGAACTATCTAGAAAATGATGTTCGACTAACAGGTACATTTGTTATAATTACAAATTCTGATGGATGATGGGGGCACACCCACTATAATATCAATCAGTGAGGGTCTTTGGGACACTTGTGAGGAATATACATGTTTTAAGGTTGCTCAAAGAGCAATTTTATTGGACTGATCTCAGTCTGGAGTTGCCTGCTGGCTCCAAATGGGAGAGAAGTTATGTGGGAAATTTCAGCTAGAATAGACATATGGTACAAGTTCCCCTGTTTTGCTAAAAAGGAAAATACAATTAATGTATGCATTGTGGGGTGCCTGGGCTGGCATTGCATTGCTAGTTTAAACTTCACTAGGAAGAGAGAGCCACTGAGACAGAAACTCTAAACTCAGTGACTAGGTGGGAGCTTTGTTTGGCAGCATAGAATTATCCCTGTGCTCGCAATCACGGGATCTTTAATCACTGTGTTTGCTTTTTATAGATCTACAAAAAACAGTACTTGAGAGGAGTACAGATACCGGGGCAGTGGATTCAGGACTGATTCAGTAGGAGTGCCACTGAGAATACACCCACCCTGCAATGAGAAATGTGATTGCAGCATGCATAGTATATTTAAGCAAGTGTGGCTGCCATCACAATGAAGATGTGGTAGCTTGGGCTCCAGCATGGCTAGTCACATGAGCAAGTACTTGGAGATAGCAGGAGACTTATACAGTCTGTACGGAAGCTGATATCACCATCTCTTTACCACTAGTATTATTAATAATGGCCTGAAATTGCAGCGGAGGAAATTTAGGTTGGAGATTAGAAAGAAATGTTGATTATGAGCATAGTCAAAGCATTGGAACAGACTACCTAGTGAAATTGTGGAAGCATATTAGATGGACACTTGCCTGGGATGATTTAAGCACAGATGGCCCTGCCTTAAAAAAATAACTCCACACGTGTTTTGCTTTTCAGATCCACTGTGCTGCCCTTCTACCTGTTGGTTTCCTTATTTAGTGAAAAATTACTAAAAGGGCCCTACACTATAAACATTTCAGTGAGCTAGGTCTCTCATAGTGTTTCAATACTCCATGAAAGTAGCCTTGAAGAAATTTACAGTCTTGTGTTTATTCCTGACCCATTTCCTAATAGAAAAGTTTTCCAAGGTGCTGTCATTGTTGCAGGCTTCACATCAATGGAATGACAAATACATCAAGATTAGGCAGGAAGTTTTATTTTTAACTTGTAGTTAGGGCATATCAGTCGTGACAGTACCCATATTAACACATGTATTGCTACTAGCTTTTCTTCCTTCCTGTACCAAGTACAGCAATAACATACTAGAATGGTGGCACTAAGTTGGCATTCAAATGAGATATAACACAGAAAATTTAACCACTCCATTATTACAGATTCCACAGATCTTTTCTCAACAGTTTGAGCTGGTTGTTGTGGTTAATCCCTAACAATTAGCAACTATATTTTGCTTGAACTCATACGAAGGTGATCAAAGGCTCAAAGGTTGGTTAGGAGATTCAACTTCTATTAAAAGTCAGTGGGAACTGGGAATCTTTTATTGTGCCCTCCCCCCCCCAAAAATCTAAATAAATATATTTTTAGTATTTATTGCACTTTTTGTCTTGAGACCTCTTTACAAACAGAATTGGGAATACGCTGCAGCATGCCTCCTGATTACTGTTCATTCCATTATTTTTAATCCACTTAGTTTTAACTATTTTCATATGCAGTTGCACTCTCTTTCAGTTACTGTTGTAGATTGGGATTTTTTGAGGGAGCATAAGGAAGTTTGGTGCCCGATTTCCAATTCATTACAATGAGATTTAGGCATGTAACTTGCTTAGGCTCCTTTGAAATTCTCAGTTCCTTCAAAAAAAGCTACTGGCAGGAATGTACATGGAAACAGCACATTGTAAGTAAGTACTGAAGAACATATACGTATAAAAAAAGTGAAGAAGGGCTCTGCTCTCTTTTTATATCTATATTAAATCTCTGAGCATGCCCAGGATGAGCTAGATCTTTCTAGAGGCCAGAGAAAATTTAGACTGAACTGATTGCCCCTCTCCTATACAGTTTAGTGTTGCTCATTTCCTCCAAGAGCCACTCTTTATCTTTACAAGACAGTGCTTCAAGACCTCTCTCCATCTCCTTAAAGAGTCATATAAACTCCCAAGCTCATTTAACATTGGGAAGTAATTGCCAATTTGCTGCACTGTTCAGTATAGCTCCATCATGTAAAGAGCAGAGCTGGACCACATAATTTAGGTCTAATGGGTTGTACAGTATCATAGGGCCTTGGATGTAGTATTCTTTATATTCTTATCTGCAGCATGCTGTCTGCTATTAAACAGCTGCTGTAATTCACCCAACAGGCATCTGCATTTTGGTAATTGGTGAAGAGATCCCTAAATATATAATTTGTATATAATTTTAAGTTTGTGCTATAATTCAGGATTCTTAACAAATAAAGACACTTTATGGATGTAAAAGGATGATAAAAATAATAGAGAGTAGAGCAATAATGGTAAATAACATTATTAATGTACAAATTATGAAGGAGTTGAGCTAAGGAGTAAAATCCCATCTCTATGATTCAGCTTTTCCATGGAGGAGATACAGATTACATGGGGTTTTTCTGCAATCAAAATTAAAATCAAGGAAATAGCTGCAGGGAGCAGAGTTACTGGAATGGAACTAAGGAGTTTCTGGCAAAGAATGGGTCATCATGTTGCTAACAGAAGGGGGAAGAGAAATTACATGACTGCCATGGACTATTGTTTCTCTGAATAAGATATAAAATATAATAGATGTAAATCATCATTGTTGTTACCAATCCCTTGTTACCAAGTAGATAGGAGAATAGAAAAGTTATGTTAAAAATACCAGTTAACTCTCCTATCTCTCCCCTATAAAACACTAGGTTTACATTCTGGCTGTGATGCTAGCTTTTTGTGGCACTCCAGTGATGAAAAAAGATCATAAATTTGAGCTGAGTATTTCCTATAGGAAAATCCCTGGGTGCTGGTAAGCCAGCATTTTAAAAGACTTTCAGATATGAATAACCAAAAAATACCATAGGTGGGCATGTCCGAGATCTTCATACAAAGAGTCCTAATGCAGGGGAAATGTAGTAGTCTTTTAAGTGCTCCATTCTAAAAAAATGAAGACTACAGGAAACTCATGCTGTATAACAGCATCTTGAGCCTTGAAGACCACAGATTCAATTTAGGCACCGAACCAACACAGAAGAATATGGATGGGGCAAGCTTTCTACATTGCTAGCAACTATCTAGCCCTGAGTAGGAGGAGAAATCACCACTATATGTGAACAGAAGATGGCATTTTATGCTTTGTACCCTTCCAGTTTGTGACCTCACTCTGCTGAGGCTGCTAGCAGTGGAACTGATCATCTGTTGTGCTGTGGGGTACTTGCTCAGTGGGAACTGAACTTTATCCCACCAGCTCATTTCACATCAGTCATAGGATGTGAAACAGATGGCAAATATGTCCAGTCACAGCTATAAGTTTACAGGGTCAACAGTCTTTGTAACATTGTAGGTGATTTGCCTGGCAATGGCTGCATCCTGAAAACTAGTGTGACTGAACCAGAGATGCTAGATCAGGAATGGTGCCATGCAGGAATATGCAATGATATCAGTGTTCTTGCTTTTATGTAGCATTTCTCATCCTTAGATCTCAAAGCTCTTTAAGCATTAGAAGAAACTGAGGTGCAAAGACTTTAATCCTTATTCTTTCTTAGTGCAATGGTGCCTTTTGCAGCAGAATTGATTTGGTTCCACTGAATAGGACATAGAATGGGAAGAGGGCAGCAGCCATGCATGCTACTTTCTTCACACGAACACTTTGAGAGACTCTGCACAGGGTTGGATGGGGGGTGACAAAAGCAGATGCAGTAATGTTAAGATTACGGCAACATCAGGGCTGTAGTAGTAATTTCGCCATGGCCAAAAGTGGGATTAGATCCAGGATCAGG